GTTTAACCTTGTTTGCAGTGGCACTCGAAAAGACGATCGGACACTCAGCGCGGCTGCAAGTCGGCTGTAAGGCTGCGGTGGGTTTGGGGGCGGTAGCATGAAGAACCATTGAACCAACGAACAGCGGCAGGGTGGACCATTGGAGTCAGTGTGTTGGGAGCAGGTACAGGAAGGTGATCAGCCTTCCCTTCCCATCCATGACCGCAGCTTCGTTGCACACGGTAGGTCATGGATGCCGTGTGCCCCTGCTGGTTGAAAAAGTTAGTGGAAAAGCGTGGAAAAGGTGGCGGTGGAGATCCCTTTGCCCAGGGGTGGACACACACACACACACTTTGTCAACATCCACTTCTGCTTCCGAGACAAGTTTAGAGTATCTTATTTACACATCTCACGATTGACATTGACCTTCAAATTGTGGCGTCCTCGATTGTTTCCCATGTGCAAACTACCATATCATGCATTGTAGCCTAAATGATCTAATCTAATTACAATTAGTTCAACCGGGTTAGCACAGATTTGCAATGAATTGACAACATTCAGCCTTTCTCAAGCATGACCTTCATGATGCAAGTTCCGCCTGTCATAGATGCAGTCGGATGCCCCCCCGTCTCACCGGTCGGAGAGTCACTTTGGAACACAAGTGTTAGTTCACTTTGGAATTTGGAACACAGGTCTTTAGTTCACTTTGGAACACAAAAGATGTGTCACTTTGGAACACAAAACAACCCAAAAACATGGAAGGGTTGACAAACGCCTATTTCTGAGAGATAACTTTGGACAACAACACACCAGCTTTTGTTTTTTTGGTGGTTACTCAGGAAATCGTGCTAGTGGTTACTGTGGCCTCCAACCTACTAGCGATGGCCTCCATAGTAGTAGCGATGGCCTCTAACCTACTAGCGATGACACGCGTTCCGAAGCGATCACATTCCTGCGTTCCGAAGCGATCGTTTTTCTGCGTTCCGAAGCGACTACCTCACCCTTCTCACCTGCAGTCCAGCGACTGCCCAGTTGCCGCACCAACTCCGAAGCCATCAGCGATCAAAACGTCCCGAGCAACGTGACCAACGCGCGACACGGCGCCGCCGGTGGTTTTTTTGGGACAGCCACCGGGGCTGAGCCAAAGAGGCGGGTCATGGTTCAATGACGCAAAGACCAAACATCAGCAAAATGAAAACACGGACCTTCGAGGCTGTTGGGAACCCTACCAGGTGGTTTCTGGGTACTGTTGTCACCAGGATAAATATTATCAAATACTGTTGGAGGGTGCTGGTAGATGCACTTAAGATCGCCTAAGTCTATTCTCCATGTATATGCGCTCAAGGTGTGGTGAAACACCTTGAAGATCTCCTCAGCCATGTAAGCCCCGAATTGGTCCTCTGCTTCTCCTGGTAGGGAAGTTCTTGCTGGAAGGGGTGGTGTCCGATCTCGGTCTCAGAGTGGTGACCGGACATCCGATCGCCCAGCCCCAAGCGATCCGACATCCGACCACCGCAACAAGTCACCCAATGATGGGGCCGGGCAATAGGAAGCCCTTCGGCCTGGCGAGTGTCACAAACAGCCCAGCGTGCATGAGGACAAGCGCCAGACTGGAGGTTAGACGCGCCGAAATAGTGGACTGCTTTCCCCTCCTGATCTCTGTCATGTGCTTAGTCTTCGCTGGAGCCTGTAGCCTCTAGGCTCCAGCGTGAGTTTGGATGAGGAGATTCTTGGATCCGGAGCTCGGTTCCAACTGTTCATAGCAGCCCCAAGAGATCCCAGCAAAGCAAATGACAAAAATTGACAAAACACTTTTTTGGGGGGGAGGCTTTTCACCGGATGGGAGGCTATCCCTCAAAGGTTCACGACGACCTTCAAAGTCCACTGAAAAAAAAAGAAACGTATCCTGATGCATCCTGACAGTGATCCTGTCTCTCCTTTATGGATAATATCTTTCAGATCAAAAAGTCGGGCTCATATCCACAGGTGTGGGTCTTGCAATCCAGGTGTCGCATGTTGTCTCGAGCTGACCAGTCTCTGGCGCATTATTCTCATATAATATAAGTAGATAGATAGGATAGGATAGGATATGATAGGATAGAATAGATTAGCTTAGCTTAGCTTAGATTAGAGTACAGTAGATTAGATTAGATAGATAGCTAGCTAGGTAGATAGGTAGATAGATAAATGGAGAGAGAGAGAGAGAGCACTTGCCTCCAAAAGCCATCGATCCTTCCGGTTGCCTTTCGGTCTCGGTACCGGTCTCGCCTCAAGGGGCAAGTGACCTCTAAGATCCGGATGGGTGGCTTCAACGCCTGCGGAGAATGCAGCTGTGTCAGCTGAAACGGAAGGGATGGATTATGGATGGATGAGGCAAGAACCGTGGGGATGGACTCCGGAAACAGCAACTCAGGACTCAAATGCACGGATTTTCTTAACAGCCAAATCAATCAAGAACCACTTCAAGAACCAATAACGACCAACACTGCTACTGCTATTTCTGCTGCGGCCGTTACCGCTGCCGCTGCTATTTTATGCCGCTATATTCTGGTGCGGTGCTGCTAACACATTGACGACAACCACTCGCTTGCCCCGAGGAACAAATCACAAAAAAACATTCTGTCCTTCATCCGGATGGACCACCGCCAAACAGTGCCATATTCCTGCACAAACATAATAATATTGTATACTAATTACTTGCACTTGGGCCACCTGGGTCTCTTCGGAGCTACTGCAGGGCGAGTTCCGCAAATGTCCGACGTTCCCCTCCTCCAATCGAACGGAGCTCAGTGCCATAGAAAAGCACTAGCTCTAAAATGATGAATAATACCCCTCCGGTGGTCCACAAACATGAAAATGGCTTTCGAGCCTGATCCCCCTTCCTAGTTGTGAGATGTTGCCGGTTTCTCCAGGTGAGTTGGAATGGCATCTCGGACACAAATGCCTCCCACGCTTTCTTCCATTCCACTCAGCCTGGCGCATGCTGGGCTGGGTGTTGTTGAAGTCCGCCCACCGCCTAGAACTGGAGTTTGGTCACACGACGAGCGGACGGGGAGTCAATCTGAGTCGACTGGCACCCTCCTACCCTTGTTGGCCTCAAGTACAGCAGTGGCAGTGGATGTTTGTGTTCATTTCTTTAAAGATTGTGTTAGTTTGAGTCTTGATTTTGGGGTGTTCAAAGGTCCAGCAACAAGTCGACGCAGGTGACAGTTCATGAATCACATACCCAAGTTGATGCAAGTGCCAGGAGATCAAGCAGCAAATTTCCCACGTGGCAAGCGCCCGCACCCCACCAAGAATCCCTGCAAAAGAACTGGCTGCGTGCCAAGACTTGGGTAGAGTCGAAGTGGCAGTTCTCTTACAAGGATGGCAGGGTTTTGCAGGCGATCATCCAACTTTGCAGGCTCAAAGTAGCTGCAACGAAACATCTCAACATATCCCACCGCAAAGTACCAATCAGTGAACCGCTTGATCCAAAGTAGCTACACATAGCTACACCAACCATTTTCTGAAAACAAACCGCAATACGAGGCGACCTGTTCGACTGTTCAGACTTGTTAGTTCCACCTGTGTCCAACCCTTCCTCAGGTTCCTGCTTTGATCACTTATATATTCTCCACCTATAAACAATGCATACGGCCTCCGAACGCGGACGCCAAGACCGGGCCAAGTGGCCAATCCGAACGGCAGTTCATCAATGCCACACCCTTGGACATCTGCACGATCGCCTCAAAAAGCCTTGGCCGGAGCGCAAGCTAGCAAGTTTCACCGGAGGAGTCCTGGACACTGGTCCAACAGGTGAGATTCTGATTCGTTGAGGATATGACTATTGACTGCTTGCGAGACATGTAGAAACCCAGTCCATGTGGGAATATATACTGATGACTACTAAGAGATTATAAGGTCATTATTTGAGCAACCCAACGAGCAACTTGGCCGTATATACAACTCAGAAAAAGAAGGTGCGTGTGTCTATAGTTGTCATACTTTGGAGTGTTGTGTCTGACAGGCTCGACGTGGCTCAACGATGCACGGACCACGCGAGAACATGATGGAGGCATATTGAGTATGCGAGTGGATCTTAATCAGCGAAGTTTGAAGCTATCACTGACGATCCATAAGCGGCGTAGCGTCGGAACGGAAACCGCACCTTTTCTAGACGCTTGATCCTTGAGCCAAAGTACATATGGTACATATATATGTACAAGTTGCACTGTACGTGTCGCTGCACTTCCATTCGCACCCCCCATGTGAACGGCAACAATATGTTCCGATCACACACGAAAATTTAGGGATGTAAGTGCGACAAAAGAAATTGTATGATTTGCCGCGAGACTCATATGAGGCTCATACTACGAAACATGCTGGACTAAAGCGGAATTTTACATATAAAGTGTGCAACTATGGCTCAGAACCTATGAAAATCGAATTGAACAAGTGAGACAGTCACGAGGCCTCGCTCAGTATCCACTCAAAAGAGCATCGCTTTGATGTAGATCCGAACTGGTGACTTCCACGTAGATGTCACATCGGCAACTGACTTCACACTTCTCAAAAGATGTAGGTTTTGGTTTGGATACACTTACAGAACGGCAAGTCGGAGAGACAGTCGGTGACTGTCTGCCTTCCATTATGCTCATGGTATCAAATCGGATTGATGATTTGCAATGATACACTTACAGCGTTTCAGGTCAGATAGACATCCGGTGAATGACTTCCTCCCTGGTTTGCATGGTATCCTCATAGTCGTTCAAAGAAATCACCACTGGCGATAACCTCTCCATCCACGATGATCCCAGCTGCCCTGAGCATCCCGCCGATCATCTTCTCCCTTCTTGGACTTTCCCTTGGACTTGCTCTTTCCCTTCCCCTTTTCAGAAGGTTGAGGTACTTCGCGACGTTCTTGCGTTAGCGCCGGCCTCCAAGATGTTCCAGATTGGCCTCCTCCTTTGGAATGTCCTCGGGATGATGAAGAAGTTGTACCTTCTGCTGCATGTGCGTTGGCGGCAAGATCTTCCTGCAAAGCTTGCTCAAACACATCGGTAGCACTGGATGGTGATTTATCATGCGGTCTGGCTTTTGGAGCAGCCTTCGCCTTGCTCTCCTCTGCTGATGAGGGCCCGAAACTCTTAGGTGCTGTTGAAGGTTTTGGCTCCTCACTTGGTGCTGACGACGGCTTGCCCTCGGTTCTGGGTGTAGATGCTGGCTTTGCCTCAGCTCTTGACGAAGATGCTGCTTTCGCTTCAGACTTAGTCGTTGATGTTGACTTAGCTGTTGCCTTGGCTGCCTGCTTCTTCTTGCCCTGAATCTCCTTGGCCCTATCTCCAAAGCCTAGACGATCGGTAAGAGCTTGAACATGCTTCTGTTCTACCACGCTCATCCATCTCTCTGTATGTCCAATGTTGGGATTTCTGGCCATTGACTCTACGACATTCTGAGCGTGTGGGGGCAACCTGATCTCATGTTGATCAATGATCAGCAGAATAGACTTCTCCCATTTGCTCTTCATTCTCGAGTACATGATGTCCAGAGGATCGATCACCTTGTGGTTGGGTGATGTAACGTCGGTTCTAAAGTAAGAATATGTCCGACAACCATAAATCGCATGGATGCACTTCTGTACCAATTCAGTCATTGCGCTGGCTTTCTTCGCTTTCAACTCCTCAAGCTGGACGTCAGTCAAGTTGGTGGAGTATTCGAAGTTGCCATATTCCTTCTTGAAGGAGTACGGAGTATGACCAAATGATAGGATCACGAGTGCCACCTTGCAAATGAATTGCTCTCCTCTGAATCGGTGCCAGGCCTCCTCAATCGTAATCTTGTTTTCGTTGGCAAAGATTCTCATCATGTCATCTGTTGGATCCAATGGTCTCCCATCGTCATCGATTTCAGTGAAATCCTCTGTACCGAACTTGCTTATCACATCCAGACGCTTCCTTTTCCAATTTGCTTTGAAGTCGGTAAGGCTGGTGCAATAGTAGCTCTTGTACATCAGGGAGATCATGTTCAGCACACATTTGACCACATACCTATCCATCAAACCCGATGCATTCATG